ATTGACAACCTACAAATCCTTTTACGACCGTGCAGGGAAGACTTTCTCCGGCGGTCCTTCTGCGGCACAGGATGTGCCGCGTCGTACTGATCTACTAGACCCAGTACGTCAACCATCAGTTGGGAGCGGGGCTCTCAAGTATCCCAAGACGGGGGATAGCCGCGCCACCGGACGAGATAACTCGTCCGACGTCCGTTCACATCGCGGTGGTTCAACAGCTGATCAACTAGATAGCGCTGGCCACCGCGAGAGTCCTACAATGGAGGTGGTTGAGGGGGAAAACGCTCTCCACACGATCGTGGGGAAGCGTGTGTTCCCGAGAGCTTCTTTGATCGCGTAACACAAAGGTTACACGGTGGTCTCGAACATGAGCGGGACAGGCGTCTCCAAATGGGGGACACTGTCTTGAAGCATCGAGCTAAGTTTGCCATTGCTCAGCTTGAGAACCTGAGAGCTCTGACATCTCTTCGTGACGAGCTAAGGGTAGCTCGTGGGATTGTTGATCGGTCTCGGAATGAGATAGCTGCTCTTCAGACCCTTGTCGATGCCCACCATCGGGAGCACAAGGCTCTCTGCGAGATGCTTGAGAGCAAGGGCGTTCTTCATCGGAAGAAACAGCGTAATGATGGTATGGCTTAAGCCGACCAACGTAAAACGTGGGATGCGTTCGCATCTTACGTGGCAGTTCGATCATGTCTGCGTTGCCTAGGCGATGCAATACACGAAATGGGCCGATGTACTTGGGTAGAAGTTTACTGCTACCCAAGTTAGTCACTACATGCTTTGGTAGATTAACCGTAGACAGTAGGACTAAGTCACCTTTATTAAAAAAAGAGTGTTTGCTTTTCCATTCTTGTCAGCGTTTTGCTTTTGCTTATCCACCGCTTCGGCGATAGAGTCTTGCACAAAACGGACTACCGCTTCACGAGCCATTGTGAATTCATCTGATGACTCGTTAGCTGCAGTGCGCTGTGAGTGCACTGCAGCAACATCAATCGTTTCTTCAGAGAGGGCTTCCGCACTCTCACTGGCATCATCTTCTTCGATATCAACGTTATCGATATCGGCATTAAACGCAATGACCTCTTTCGCACACAGAAGGTCGGAGAGCTATATGGGGAAGTTGATTCCCTCACATGGCCCGCATCTAAACGATCGGCAAAGAACTTGTCGATCGCAAGTACTCGTTCACGAGGCAGTGGCCACTGTTTCATGACACAGTACTTCGAGCCTGGTTTGAGCTCGACCTCGTGTCGAATATCTTTATCCTTCGGTAATCCGCACGGAACAGTTTCAGGGAATACATCCTTGAATTCAACCAAATCTTCATAGAGAGAGCATTTGTCTTGAGCGATTCCCACGATTGGGAGTCATATCGCTCAACTCGTGTCTTTTCATCTAGGACACTCTCGTCCATAGATGAACTACAGAGAACTCTCTCGTTCTCAGTAAACACTGTTGCTGACCTTATGTCGGTTACACACTCGTCGTCAGCGACGAGTACGCAGATCTGCTTGAATTTGCCACTACGCAGATCACGCAAGAACCTTTTAAGTTCGAGTGTTGGCAACTGAGTGATCTCCGAAGTCAACTTCGTAGGCGCAATCAGATCAAGTGTATAAGCGCTACACTTGATCCGTTATTGACTATGACAATCAGTGTCTCTGTCATTTCCTGGGGACTTATTCCCTCAGGCCTCGAAGGACTTATTCCTTCGTCTTCCCGGGGACTTATTCCCGCGGGTTTCGGGGAACTTATTTCCGCCGTATTTGTAATCTTGGGACTTATTCCCTTTACTTCCTCTAGCTGGGGTTGCGCAACCACAGCGAGATCCTCTACGAAAGACTCTCCAGTCGATCTAGGATTATCGTTTCGCTTAACCTGAGCGATCGATCGTTTCTCTTCTAGATGTTCCCCGCTAGGGATACATCTTTGTCCCAGTCCACCCGACTTATTCGAGTGGTGGACCTTCGGTGCAGCCTGTGTTTCCTCACAGCCGCCGGAACTTTGCTCCGAAGTGTAACCGTTTGCTACACTAAGGTTTTGTGCAGTCGTACTAACGACCGTACCACAAGTGAGGCCATCGCACTCACTCGTAGTACATCCACACGCTTGTGGACGCTCCAAAACGTTCATCAGATGGCCGTCTGATGAACAAGCGGCAGGCATCGTTACTGTTCGATGTTGCCACTTTACCCGTGGTTCGTACCTTCTGAGCCACGGTATTCCAAGGATGACATCAAATTTGTCCTCCAAATCCAATACGATAAAGTCATCGTCATATTGGGTATCTTCTAACGTATAGTGAATGTTCACTTTACGTTTCATGACGGTTACGGATGCGCCTGTCGCAAGATGTAACGTCATCCTCGTAGGAGGTGTGTCACATTCAACAAACCTGAAGTGACCATCTTCTAGCGCTTGGCGTCGCACAAAATTGTTGGACGCCCCACAATCGGCTAGAGCTCGAATGAACAACTTATTTGTCACTTCGAGTTTCAAGGTAATGAGTGAGATCTCATTACCTAGAGCAGCAACGCACAACGTTTGTGTGTTGGGAGCAACCTTCATCAAGAGGCCTACAAATTCTCTTGACGTTGCTGGATCAGTAGGGTGCACCTACTGATCCTGTCCGTTTTTTGACGGTCCATCCCGTTGTTGCGTCTTTGCACCAACAGCGGACCCGCGTCCCTGCCCCTTTCTAATGGGTGGACGGTCACTACGCCCAGTGTTGCGAGACACTGGACGAGGGGCTACAGTCTACAGTCGTAAGTGTAGTGTCGTGTCTTCTGACATCTGTTGCATTCCTGAAACTTCTTGTAGTCTGTAGAGCGAGCCTTCTCGCTCTCTACATAACAGAGCTTCATCGGCTCTGGACCTCCGCTGTCATATCGTCTCGGTTGACGATATGATGTCGAGCTGGCGCGAGCCTGTCTCAGACTGAAGTCTTCCTGTTCCGCAATGGAAATGGCTTGTTCTAGTGAATCTAGTTCAAGTCGGAACAGGTGAGTCTTGACGGGACCATCCGCAAGACCCTGCATGAACACCGAAACCAACGTGTGTTCATCCACCGGATTGGAACTTATACAACTCGTGAGATGTCAAATATGTCGCGCGTAAGCGTGCACATCACGCTTACCTTGTTTGAGCTTCAAGAGTTCGGTTCGAGCTCTATACTCAGCTCTAGGCGGTTCAAACGTTTGTCTGATCCGCGACTTGAAGACTTCTAACGACCCAAACGCATATAGGTCGTGCAACTTGAGCCCCAAAGCCCGAGTCTTGGCACGTCCTGCCAGATTTGATTGGGCAAATGCAACGTGCATATCCCCGTCGTCGATGCGACGCGCCCTTATGGCGTCGTCTAATTCGACAAACCATCTCAAGAGGGAGTCCTCTTCGACTCCCCTATACTTGGAGATGTCAATCTTCAAAGTCTCGGGTTGACGCGAGTGCATCGACCCACCAGCAGCAGCCTGCTGCTGTCTCAACAGTTCAAACTGTTTAGCACTCTGTTCTCTCAACAACTCTGTTTGTTGAGAACCTTGTTGGTGAAGCAAGGCTACTTTCTCGCGTTCTGCGTCAAGTTCATTTTGAATGAACTTGGCGGTAGTAGCATGTTGGGTATCTCTATTGAGAGCCTCTATCATGACGCTAACAGCATGGATGCCCATGGTTGAGCCGATTCGTTCAACCGCATCCCATTCGACATCGCTCAAATGGGAGTAGCCGTCACGCGTAGCGTGAAAGCTTTGGTCATCTTCATCATCCAACATATTCATGTTAGATGTGAACGTGGTCCTTGGACGGACAACGAAGTGCTACCAGGTGTAACGGGGCACCCTGAAGCTTGTACTGATGACAGCACAGACTTCTTATTCTGACGACAGAATAAGGCGGTGCCTCGGAACTTCACGTACACTGGTACGTGCAGAGGAAGACGGTAAGTGAAAGCGAGTACTTGGTGAAAGTGAAAAGTAGAACTGTATTTATAATAGTTAATGTCTGCAATAAATCACTATTTATCTTAATCTAACTATGTCTGAGTACAACTACGCATATCAACTATCTGCTCACCACTCATTGCGTGCGTCTGTCGTGGCGCGTCTTCGTTGGTTGATATAATGGCCTATATCAACCAATTAGGCACTACTCGTAAGTGCTGCAGAATATTGTCCTTATGGCAATATTCTGAGAACATAACTCTTACAGTCTTGTTCTGTTAACAATTTCTTTTAAATTGTTATGCAACGATTCACCCCGTTACAGTGCGTCTTCAAAATTGTTTACGCTTGAATTATGTTGCTGTCAGTCTGTATTTGTAGTAATAAGGTGTTTGATGCTGCGTTGATTACTGTGTTGGCTTCAACAGCAACGGGCAGCTTCTTTTGATGAAGACCGGTTTGAATGATATACTGTTGCGCAAATTATTCTACCTAGCACGCAGAAGGTAATTCCCCCTCCTTTTTTGCGCGTATTCTATTCTTTGCGAGTAGTGTACCTTTTGAAACCTACAACGTCGGGCGATTACTGTGATGTTTTGCGCACGTTCGTTGTACGGATAGTACATAACGTGGCGCCTTTGCTCGGTCACTCGAACGCATGCGAATGGACGAATGATACAGCTTTGTAAATGGGTGAGGATCGATACAATAAGTACACCGGACCCTTCTTGAATGCTTTTGCTGCTCTGGTTCAACATTGAAGTTGACGTTTGATGGCAAATTCGTTCTGCCTAATCAATGAACGCGTGATGTAACCTTGTTCACTGATAAAACTCATCCATACTATTCAACATCAGGACACCGCTATCCGTTGCTTTCATTGTAGTGCATTGATGTTATTGTTACGTCAACTAGCACCTTTCTAGTGAATCTTTGTAGTAGATTTTATTGGAGGGAACCCTCCATCGTACCAGCCATCGCGAAATAAAGAGGTTTGCAACCTCTCCATCGAGCCGACAATCTCTTCTCCTCTTCTTCACGACCTGATTCTACGCTTCCTCACGTTACATCGATGTTAATCTGCCCAAACGGCTCTAACTCTCCGTGAATTTTAACAAAATCATCACTTTCTGCTCCATCTCTATTCTCCGTTGCATACACACGCTTCACGGGCACCAATGAACCTTCGCAAATATGAAACGGCTTCTCTGTATTTCCATCTTCCATGCTCTGTCCCTCAGCATCAATAAGTCTTTGCTGTAGCAATTTCCATCCAGATAACGAAAGCTGCAGTCTTGCCCGTTATGGCCTCAGTCGACTTTCCCGACGTGCAACTGCATGAAGATAAACACAACAGAAAAACATAGTACTCGTCAGTCAACTGTCAAGAAAAACTAGGCCAAAACGCTTCTATCCACCCATGTGCCCATCTTCTTCTTACCAAATTGCTCATAACTCCGACACTTTGAGAGACGACGAACACCCCAAGTTGCAAACACCAGCAACAAAGTCACGTTAAGACCGGCAACGACCGAGATTGTCACGCGTATTGGCATGGACAGTCCCGTACTTTCTTCTCCTCCTGAGAAAGGGACTTTACCGTCGTCGTGCGTATCTGAGCACTGGTTAGTGACCACGACGTCGTGCCAATTGGGTACTTCACAATTGGAAATGCACACGCAGCCATTGCGTCCCGTGCAGTATGGTGGGAGAAGATTACTCAATCATTGGGATCGTTTGGATCCTCTTGTCTCTTCCATCGCGTGCGACACGTCGCACAGACGGAATCATTTGCGTGAAAGTAGCGACAGTAACATGATGAAAAGTAGCGCTGTAAAGGCAAGTAGTAGAAACGTTCGGCAATGTACGAGCCGTACGTGCTTTGGCTGGCACAGCCACCAGACGAATTGACCGTGCACTTGTCATTTGGTAGCTGTACGTTCAGGCAATCATAACACGTGCGTGGCTCAAGGCACTCGTTGTTGTGGTACCAGGTGCACGAATCAAGATTGGTCGTGGCGTTTCGATGGACGCTGCTGATGTTGTTGATATCAAATCTAGTGTCGTCACTGGGAATAGTGTCGTCATTGAGAATAGTGTCGTAAGCGTTGTTGTTGTTGTTGTTGTTGTTGTTGCTATCGTTATTGTTGCTGTAGTTGTTGTTATTTTTATTGTTATCGTTGTTGTTGTTGTCGTTGGTAAGGGCAGTAGGAAATGGAGTCGAGGCCATGGATGCGTTTATGTGTTGAGGTGCGGATCAATTTTGAAAGTAAACTCTTGAGACCCAATTATCAGGATTACGAACGGATGGTAGGAAACGAGCGCTGTCGACTTAAGGGTCCGATTGAATGAACAATTTGGGTGATACAGTGATCGGAGGGGTGCAATCATAATACAAATGTCGAGATGCTTAGCGGTATTCATCGGTGAATCCGTCGATAAGAGCCGGGGTGTTCTAAGACTCAAAGACAGGCTCAGATACCTTTGATAGGGCAAGATTGGTGTTTTTGAGTCTTTCAAGATTGTCCGTTAACTCACTCTTCAATCTTCAGAGCAGTGACTCGTGGTCCAGGCGGAGTGTTAATTAGGATTACACCGACAAAGCTGCGCGCTATGCCATCCCCTATCTCTCCTCCACCTGGAGGAGGAAAACACGTACGGCGGCACGCAGGACGCGAAGGGCCGGTTTGGATAAGTCGCCGGTCCTGGAAATGGACGGTTGGACGCCATCACACCATCGGAAGGCCTGCATACGGAAACTGCACCTGTAGCGGGGCACCCCGAAGCTTGTACTGATGACAGCACAAGCTAATTATTCTGACGACAGAATAAGGCGGTGCCTTGCAACTTCACGTACACTCGTACGTGCAGAGGAAGACGGTAAGTGAAAGCGAGTACTTGGTGAAAGTGAAAAGTAGAACTGTATTTATAATAGTTAATGTCTGCAATAAATCACTAATTATCTGCATCTAACTATGTCTAAATACAAATGTGTAAACCAACTATCTGCTCACCACTCATTGCGTGCGTCTGTCGTGGCGCGTCTTCGTTGGTTGATATAATGGCCTATATCAACCAATTAGGAACTACTCGTAAGTGCTACAGAATATTTGTCCTTATGACAAAATTCTGAGAATGTAACGCTTATAGTTATATTCTAATAACAATTTCTTATAAATTGCTATGCAAGGATTCACCCCGTTACATCACCCCCCCTTAACCATCAGTCACTTTAGTGACTGATTGACTAAATGGATACTTGTCCCAAATCATTTGGGACAGGATTTGCACTTGTTGGTCCGAGTCCACTTTCCAATAGTTCATCGCATGGTTAACAAGCCCATGTGGTGCGTGAACAAGGCCGCTGAGAGCGCGTCCGCACGTCTCTGTGCGGACGCCGAAGCAGAAACCGCAGCAACTGATGTCTCATCGGTTGCTGAAGCGACTCAGCCTGTGTGACCTGGTGATGCAGGCGCTGGTCATGAAGACACTCATGTCTTCACAGAGTATGAGCTCGGTGTCTTACACTCTCCTGATACGGAAGACGGATCCGTATCGACGGCGATCGAATCCAATCCGCCTGCCAAGCGTGGCATGGATGATGCTATGCGTCGTAGCATCTTTGGTTCATCTGACGAATCAGATGAACCATCGCCGAAGCGAAGGCGCTCGAGGTCGCGAGACTCGGGCGCTAACAGTGGTGTCGGTTTTCCTTTTGACACCACTTCGCAACGAGGTGCCATTCCTTCTGTCGGCACGTCGCAGGAAGAGCGAGACCGCAGTGTGTTGCGTCTCACTAACGAGAAGAAGGCATGGATGCCTCCCAAATCCTCATGGATCACTTGTCGGCGACGACGAGTGATCGCTATCGAACACGGTTGTTCGATTCGTTAAGGATCCATCACCTTGATCCCAGTGCGAAAGGCTATCGTGCTGAACATGATTTTTTTATCGATGCTTTCTTTAGACATCGATGGTACAGTGGGAATCACAAGCGTGATGGTCCCTCACTGCTTCAAGCGTGGAACGCTTACATCCATAACCTTGAGGATGTAGGTCGTGACGTTTGGAACGACAAACTTATCAAAGCTCGTGATACCTTTAAAAAGCGAACCCTGACAGGTGCACGCTAAAAGCTGCATTGTCTGTCGAGGAAGAAAGGATTACCCTGCCTCTCCTGGGGAGACTCATGCCCATGTTGTGTGAACAACTCTGCGCGCGCACCTAAGGAGGCTTACCTCCTTACTAGCCCGTGGTGGCGCGCACGTATCTCTAGTGAGATGTACGAAGGGATTGACAACCTGAAATCCCTTTACGACCGTGCCGGGAAGACTTTCTCCGGCGGTCCTTCTGCGGCACAGGATGTGCCGCGTCGTACTGCTCGACCAGACCCAGTACGTCGATCATCAGTTGGGAGCGGGGCTCTCAATTATCCCAGGACGGGGGATAGCCGCGCCACCGGACGAGATAACTCGTCCGACGTCCGTTCACATCGCGGTGGTTCAACAGCTGCTCAAGTAGATAGCGCTGGCCAACGCGAGAGTCCTCTAATGGAGGAGGAGGGAAAACGCTCTCCAAACTGTCGTGGGGAAGCGTGCGTTCCCGAGAGCTTCTTTGATCGCGTAACGCAAAGGTTACGCGGCGATCTCGAACATGAGCGGGACAGGCGTCTCCAAATGGGGGACACTGTCTCGAAGCATCGATCTGAGTTTGCCATTGCTCAGCTTGAGAACCTGAGAGCTCTGACATCTCTTCGTGACGAGCTAAGGGTAGCTCATGGGATTGTTGATCGGTCTCGGGCTGATATAACTGCTCTTCAGACCCTTGTCGACGCCCACCACCGGCAACACAAGGCTCGCTGTGAGATGCTTGAGCGCAAGAGCGTTCTTCATCGGAAGAAGCAGCGTACTGATGGTACGGCTTAAGCCGACCAACGTAAAACGTGGGATGCGTTTGCATCTTACGTGGCAATTCGATCGTGTATGCGTTGCCTAGGCGATGCAATACACGAAATGGGCCGATGTACTTGGGTAGAAGTTTACTGCTACCCAAGTTAGTCACTACATGCTTTGGTAGATTAATTTTAGACAGTAGGACTAAGTCACCTTTATTAAAAAAAGGGAGTTTGCTTTTCCATTCTTGTCAGCGTTTTGCTTTTGCTTATCCACCGCTTCGGCGATGGAGATTTGCACAAAACGGACTACCGTTTCACGAGCCAGTATGAACTCATCTGGTGACTCGTTAGCTCCAGTGCGCTGTGAGCGCACTGCAGCAACATCAACCTTTTCTTCATTGAGGGCTTCCGCACTCTCACTGGCATCATCTTCTTCGATATTGATGTTATCGATATCGGCATCAAACGCAATGACCTCTTCGTCAGAGCGTGATGAGCGTGAACCAATTCGGTTTTTGCTCGCGCGAGTCCCTCCTCCCCTTAAACCAGAGTTACACTCTAGTAAGGTGGGTACACGCGGATGGCGTACGCCATTCACGTAAAACGGTGTATGTGTCGTGGATGCATGCACCGAGTTGTTAATGGCAAACTACCATGGGCAAGAAATCACTCCAACTCTTAAAGGAGTGTACGTATCCTCGAAGTATCTCTTCGAGGACACGATTGGCACGTTCCGTCTGACCATCTGACTCTGGATGATCAGATGTCGACATCTTCAAGCGCGTTCCGAGTGATTTGAACACGGAACGCCAGAAATCAGCAGTGAAGCGTGGATCTCTGTCTGATACGAGTTCACGGGGCAACCCATGAAGTCGGAAGATGGTGTCAATAAAGACACAAGCACAGCCACTTGCCGTGATTGACCCTGGTACAGCCACAAGGTGTACCATTTTGCTGAATCTGTCAACAAAAACGAGAATACCCGTATTCCCGCGTGCGTCTTGGGTAACCCGAAGACGAAATCCATTGAGATGGATTCCCAGCACTCAGCCGGAACCGGTAGAGGCTGTAGAGGTGCACGCAGTGAAGGGCTTGACTTCACTCGTTGACAGACTTCGCATGCGCGAACATACTTTCGCACAAACTGATACTGGCGGGGCCAGTAAAAGTCTCGACTCACCGTGAGATATGTTTTCTCTCGGCCACGATGTCCTCCTACAAGGGCATCGTGGTACTCGAACATGATCCGCAAACGCAGATCAGTATCATCTGGAATGACAACACGTGGTGTGTCACCAGAAGCGGCTGTTTAATGCAGTAAACCGTTGCGAGTAGTGTATCTATCTGATGCAGATCGATACGCAGGCGACAATCGTTTCAACGATTCTCGAGATGGCTGTGAGGGATGTGTCAACGACTTCACAATCTCACCATCTTGGGCATACGCCCGCCTCACATCATCATGCAACGTTGAAGATGGTACTGAGGACGTCATAACCGCAACAGTGACTGTCTCACTGTTGGGTTTCACGACTGGTTCAAAGTCGGGACGACGTGAGAGTGCATCAGCGACGACGTGAAGTCGTCCTGGTTTGTACTCTACCGTAAAGTTGTATTCTGCAAAGAATGACAACCACCGCGCCATTCGTTGTGAAAGGTGCGGGCTGTTTGCTGCCGTGCGTAATGACGCATGGTCAGTGTAAACAATGAAGGGTCTATCTCCTAATAGATAGACTCTGAACTTCGCGAGTGCATACTTCATGGCAAGGAGCTCCTTGTCATGCACTGGATAGTTCCGATCTGCTGGTTGCAGCTGACGCGACTGATAGCAGACGACGCGTTCGACGCCTTCAAGATCGTACTGTATTAATGCACAGCCTATTGCAAAATCGCTGGCATCACAGACCACATGAAATGGCCTGTCCTGATCGGCAATTGCTAGTACTGGGGATTGTATCAAGCTATGCTTGATACCATCAAAGGAGCGCTGACATTCAGCGTTCGATAACCACATCTCGTTCTTTTTCAACAAACGAGAGAGGTGTACAGTCATCTCGGCGTAATTGCGTGAAAACTTGTGCAAATACGCTGCTAGCCCAAGGAATTTTCGAAGACCTTTGACATCAACCGGCACAGGCCAGTCGGTGATCGTCTTGATCTGTTCGGGATCAGGACGTACACCGTTCTTACCAACGATGCATCCAAGAAGTGGTATTTCGCTTGCTGCAAATACACACTTCTTGAGGTTTGCATAAAATTGATGCTTTTGCATGATTGTAAGAACCTGTCGGACGTGGTACCTGTGAACCTCAACATCCGAATTTTCATATATAGCCCGACTATGGATGAATACGTCATCGAAATAACTCGGCGCGAATTCTCGTACTGGTCTCAACAGATGTGATACACATCTGTTGAACGTGGCAGGGGCATTACTAAGCCCTTGTGGTATTACTAGCCAGAGCATGCCGCTAGGCGTGCTAGCTGCGGTATAGAGTATATCCCGTTCTCGCATAAGGATCTGATAGAAGACATCCATCAAATCCATGGACGAAAAGATGGTACTCTTTGACATACCATCAATGATTACGTCCTTCATTGGTATCGGCGTCTGAGCCGGTACCGTTGCAGCATTCAACTTGTTAAATGCATGTACAATCCGCCACCCTCTTGTTGCTTTTCGCACACAGAAGGTCGGAGAGCTATGTGGGGAAGTTGATTCCCTCACATGGCCTGCAGCTAAACGATCGGCAAAGAGCTTGTCGATCGCAAGTACTTGTTCACGAGGCAGTGGCCACTGCTTCATGACACAGTACTTCGAGCCTAATTTAAGCTTGACCTCTTGTCGAATATCTTTATCCTTCGGTAATTCGCACGGAACAGTTTCAGAGAATACATCCTTGAATTCAACTAAATCTTCATAGAGGGGATTTGTATTGAGCGGTTCCCACGATTTGGAGTCATATCGCTCAACTCGTGTCTTTTCATCGAGGACGCTCTCGTCCATCGATGAACTACTGAGAACTCTCTCGTTCACAGTGAATACTGTTGCTGACCTTATGTCGGCTACGCACTCGTCGTCAGCGACGGGTACGCAGATCTGCTTGACTTTGCCACTATGCAGATCACGCAAGAACCTTTTATGTTCGAGCGTTGGCAACTGAGTGATCTCCAAAATCAACTTCGCAGGCGCAATCAGATCAAGTGTATAAGCGCTACACTTGATCGATCATTGACTATGACAATCAGTGTCTCTGTCATTTCCTGGGGACTTATTCCCTCAGGCCTCGAAGAACTTATTCCTTCGGCTTCCCGGGGACTTATTCCCTCGGGTTTCGGGGAACTTATTTCCGCCGTATTTGTAATCTTGGGACTTATTCCCTTGACTTCCTCTAGCTGGGGTTGCTCAACCACAGTGAGATCCTCTACGAAAGACTCTCCAGTCGATCTAGGATTATCCTTTCGCTTAACCTGAGCGATCGATTGTTTCTCTTCTAGATGTTCCCCGCTAGGGATACATCTTTGTCCCGGTCCACTCGACTTATTCGAGTGGTGGACCTTCGGCGCAGCCTGTGTTTCCTCACAGCTGCCGGAACTTTGCTCCGAAGTGTAACCGTTTGTTACACTAAGGTTTTGTGCAGTCGTACTAACGACCGTACCACAAGTGAGGCCATCGCACTCACTCGTAGTACATCCACACGCTTGCGCTCCAAAACGTTCATCAGATGGCCATCTGATGAAAAAGCGGCAGGCATCGTTACTGTTCGATGTTGCCAGTTTACTCGTGGTTCGTACATTCTGAGCCACAGAATTCCAATGATGACAACAAATTTTTCATCCAAATCCAATACGATAAAGTCATCGTCATATTGGGTATCGTCTAGCGTATAGTGACTCTTCACTATACGCTTCATGACGGTTACGGATGCGCCTGTCGCAAGACGTACCGTCATCCTCGTAGGAGGTGTGTCACATTCATTGAACTTAAAATGACCATCTT